GACTGGTAGCAGTGAAAAGAGTAGATATGACCATTTGGTTTTGGTTTTGCTTGCCTTTCTATTTCTGTTGCATGGCACTCAGGTTCAGATAAATGAATGTACTGGTAGGAAAAGTGGTGCTGAGTAGTTAGAACATCAGAGAAAAAACTTGGATTCCTAGGACCTATTTTTGATTATTTTCAGGATTCCTTGAAGGAAAGAATAGCCAAGTGTTGTTAATTTTATTCCCTCTAAAAAATTAATAGCTTTAATATAAAACATGGGAAGACTAATGAAGACAGACAACCTGGCTTCAGGAGCACAAGAAAACTCCCGTGCTTATAAACACAGGGCTGTAAGTATTTATATGCAAGCTGTGCTCCATATGCTATCATCTCCCGTGATTCTCTGTTATCCACCCCAAATATTAATGGGTCAAGGGACCTTGACTGCTACACCTGGGACTGCATGTTTGGAAGACTGCAGCATGAAATGTGGGGAGGATGCCCTGAGGGCAGGTTTGGAGCTTCTTTAGACACCATAGACACAGCCACTGAGGCAATATTGGTCAGCGAGGTAGGAAAGAGTTCCATAAGCAGACTGCTAGTGGGTTGTTGGGGTTTTTGCCTAGATACCACAAATTTATGATTGGCTAGCATTTTCAGTAATATATTAATTATTGAAGCATATTTGTTTATTGTAGCTAAATTATTTCATGGCTATGCACAGGAGGGGGACTAAAACTTCATTGAGTGGATGATTCTGCCCAGTGAAGGGGAGACTAATAAAGTCTTCACCTTCCCAACTTGTAGCCAGAAGTTTCAGCCTTTAAATACCTTTAATCAAAATATCTGAAAGGAGCTGTTCAGATGCAGTGTTGAACAACAGCAAATTTGAAATTTTTATCTAGTACACAAAGCCAGAATTCAGCTAGCATTAGTCATGTAAAAAGGGTATTTAAATAAGTCAGGTTTGAAAAAAGACAGTGAGATAAAAACCTTGATCAGAAATTCCTCTTAAGATATGAAAGGGAACATTTCCATTGATGTCAGGAACTCAGTCCATTAAGCCAAATTTTCAGACATGGCCACCTAAAATGTGTGCATATGCTCTCATCTATTTCAATGTGCTTTTCTCAACTTCATTATATCATTCCTTAAATCCTAATGGGATTTAATATCCTGGCTGCAGTAAGACAGGAAATGTCCTAGACACTTGGAAGATGCGGCTTTTGCTCCAAGGAGGATATAGTGAGAAATAATAGAAATCAAGTGTACAGGCTAAGGAAATAGAAACAAAAGTGACCAAGGTGATGATGGGCAGATGTGTTATTACTGAGGTATTTGCTTGTTGATTTCTTTAATTTTAACTGTGACAAATTCCCTTACCTTCACCCTTGCTTCCTAGATTGGTTTTTAGAACTTTCTGGCTTCACAATAAGCAAAGTCACTGCCGTCTATAGTTTATGAGGGAATTCCCAAGATTTACAATCATGAAAGCTAAGGATATTGAGTGCCTTTAACTTCTGCACTTCCAAAATTCTACTGCAAATGTTCAGTTCATTCACAGAGAGACTCAGTTCAGTTCTTGTAAGACTATTGAAAATAGAGAGCTTGCTTTAGGAAGCCAACATGGCAGGGATGGGGAGAAAGCTCCATTACTCTACTTGCCTTCAGTGTTGGCAATTTGCTAAAGAACAAACTGTTTCAGCTTTTCCAGCCTTCTGGAATTTGCCAAGTATGTTTTTCTTTGCAGAGTTTCTTTTTTATATTAGGCAGGTTGTTCAACTCTTCAGTCTTTTTAATGTCTTTGGGGTAGAGACTTCTAACACAGGAACACAACTCACTTCTGTGTTTGCTAACTATGACTAATACCATGAGTTATTATTAAACAGTTATAAAAGACTACTGAGGTAAAGATTTTCCCAAATAATTTATTTAAACACATTCAGTTGTATCTTTGCTTCCTCATTCCTTCCCTCTGTCACACCACAGTCAACCCTGCAGTCAGAAATATTTAATGAGATTTGTCCTTGTGATCTTGCTTAATACAATCAGCAGTAGTTACCAATGCATATTTTCTGTACTGAATTTTATAGTATCAGTTTATTAAGGACTGATAACTGGAGATTAGGATACTGGCATTAATAAAAGGACTCCCTTTCTCATCATCATAAGGGGAGAAAAAAATAAGAAAGTTTTAACAGATTTCTAAGGGCAAAATCCATGTAACAATACAAAGGAGATAAACTCTAGAGTCCCAGCTTCCAAAGTGCTGCTATATTTAAGTGACTGTCCAGTCAAAGCTCTTTTACTTGTAATATCTAATGAGAAATGCTGTGCGTTCGACCCATTTACTAGAATCATTACCGAAATCTTTTATTTAGCTGCCACATTTACCTGGGTGAAAGGTACTCTGGGCAAAGTCCTAGAATAAGGTGAATGCATAAATCAGTTTTAATAAGACATTCCCTCCTTAGGAGATTCCCAGCAAACCAGGAACTGCAGCTGCCTGTGGCTGCATGTCCTCAGCTGGGCTTTCTGTCGTACCCGGGAATCAAATAAGACCTAATCAGCAATCTGACTTATAACCAAAAGAGAGCTCAGTGCAGGGCTTTGGCCCTGTTAAGAGGTATAGGCTGTCTCTCACCAATGATGGAAAGAGAGTGAGAGAACCACTATTTTTCTGTGTGATCCCAAGCATTTCAGAGGAGGCTCTGCGTGTCCTTTCTTATTTTAAAAAGGCAGTGTCATGACAGATCAGAGCAGTATGATCTAGATGGAAGCCAGGCCGTATTAAAGGCGGATACGCTGTCACACTTAGGGTCATGTTAGAATGTAATCCTGTTAGGGTTTCTCTACAATATCACGTCATCTTACATAATTGAAAAGAAACCACTCTTGACTGAAATATGCCTGCAAGAGAGAAAACCTTGAGCAGTGGGGTAGCTAATCTCACTGTTTCTAGAAAAGGACAACACAGTATAGACTGCATCACAGTACAGGAACACTTGCCATTTGACTTGATAATGATAAGCTACAGGACTTTTCAGGGTCTCACTTCTTATGTCCAACTGCTCTAGACCTGAGGCTGATACCTGATGATGCTCCAAATAACTATAGTGATGTACAAGTGCAAGGTTGCAAGGTTATAACAGTTTGACTTGTAAAGAGACTTTCTACACTGTCAGTCCATAAGGTTCCCAAAAGCAGCATTTGGGACGTTATAAACCGCACAGCTGTAGCAGAAGAACAAGCTTTCATGTACTCCTGAATTACATTTCTTTCCGAATTACTGGGATGGTGCTTAAACTGCTTAAATAAAGGAAAAGAGATTTTTAAACATGATTTCTGTTCACTGAATTTCTGTTTTCCTAAAATCCCAGCCAATGAGTTTTGATCAACAAAATCTGGAAAAATACTGTGCTTATGTAACTGCAATTCAAGACCCTGAGATCAACACAGACTTGGTGCTTGTCAAGGTTTATATCCTTCAAGTATGTAAAATGCAGCAGCTTTTTTCAGCCATTGGAATGACATAAGACAAGATAATGTCATATGATACATTATTGCGTATCCTTCATTGCATGCCTTAGAGATTTGAATTGTTTGGTTACAGATCTGAATAATAAATAATATCTGGGAATGTAAAAGTTAAAAGGTACATTTAAAAGCTGATAATATATGTTAAAGAACTCATCTGTACTAAAGCTAACAAATTTGTTTATGAAGCCGTTCACAGACAACTGTGTAGCAAAATTAAAAGAGGTATCTAACCTTTATGGTTTCAAAGGAAGTGCTTTGCACGACTGCTGTTATCTGAGCTGATATCCTAAAACAATAACTTAGCAGATGTGAGCCCGTTTCATTTAGTGGAAAGCTAATTCTGAAGTCTGTTGACAGCACAGTTCACATCAGAAACAATATCAAGATGATAGTTTTAGCAAATATATGCCTTACAGCAGGGTAACTTGTATGTGTGGATTGCCATACTTATTTAAAAGGCTCTCCTCATAAGTAGCTAATTCACTGTAGTGAGGTGCAATAATCTGGCAGTGTGCATTAAGCTGGAGAATATACATAATGGCATTACAGAAATAGAAGCAGAACATTCCAGAGCCTGGTAGGAAATGAAAAAAACATTGTGTGATTAAATAATACAGCCCGGAGTCTACTGTGTCAGGTATCAGTGCATAGCATTCATTGAAGTCAGTGGTTCTGCAAATGAAAAAAGATACCTGAGCAAAAATTTCCAGTTAAATGATTTAGTTTTAGGTTTGTAAAATGTTTTAGTTTTAGGATTTGAAGCAGACTGTGAGGGGACAAAGACTGGAGATACAATATGCAAACACAAGTGATAGATCTAGCCTTCACTGAAGTCACTGGAAGTCCTTCGATCACTGCAATGACTTTGCATCAAATCTATTTCAAGACTATTTAACAGTAATATTAAGCTAATGTTTAATATTAATGCCTTTTTTTTCCAGAAAGCCACAAAGAGCACAGCCTTAGAATAGCCTTCCAATGGGCTTGATCTTCCCTATTAAACATTTCATGCTATTCAGCTTTTTCTTTTCTCTTTTCTTTTACAGGCAGGCCAGATCCAGCAGATAGCTGATATGAGGACTTTGCTGACTTCAGAAAGCTGAGTGTAACACCAACAGACTTCAGTGAAAGGAAATACTATCCCTCCAAGCAACTCATATACAGTCGACTTTTGGTAGCTTTAAATTAACCTGTTGCTCGCCTGCAAAGATACGGCTATCGTTTCTTTCATCACACATGGAGGAAGGCAACAAACTTTGTAACCCTGGCTAATAAGACTGTGGCTTTCTTATCAAAAGTAGGAGGTAGGCCAATTATAAAAGGATTATTTTATACTTAGCCTCCAGGACTTTAACTCTGGCCTGAACACTGGACATAAATAGAAGCCAATTTTAATGACCTGAGATTTTGCTACCTGTGCTTTGTTATTGTTATTAGTTCTTTAACACTTTGGTACTTTATTTCTTTAAATTAGAAATGGGTTCGTGGACTAGAATGTGGCCCACAGATTGGGCTGTTCTCATGAAATCATGGCTTATCTTTTCCCTGGGGTTCTACATGCAGGTCTCCAAAACTTTGGCCTGCCCAAAAGTGTGCCGCTGTGACCGAAACTTTGTCTACTGTAATGAGCGAAGCTTGACCTCAGTGCCTCTTGGGATACCGGAGGGTGTAACCGTCCTCTACCTCCATAATAACCAAATTAATAATGCTGGATTTCCTGCAGAGTTGCACAATGTCCAGTCTGTGCACACAGTCTACCTGTATGGCAACCAATTAGATGAATTCCCCATGAACCTGCCCAAGAACGTCAGGGTTCTCCACCTGCAGGAAAACAACATTCAGACCATTTCTCGGGCTGCCCTTGCTCAGCTTTTGAAGCTGGAAGAGCTGCACCTGGATGACAACTCCATCTCCACTGTTGGTGTTGAGGATGGGGCATTCCGGGAAGCCATCAGCCTCAAGCTTCTATTCTTGTCCAAGAATCACTTGAGCAGTGTACCGGTAGGCCTTCCAGTGGACTTACAAGAACTTCGAGTAGACGAAAACCGAATTGCTGTCATTTCAGACCTGGCCTTCCAGAATCTTACAAGTCTGGAGCGTCTGATTGTGGATGGCAATCTCCTTACTAATAAAGGCATAGCTGAAGGCACCTTCAGCCACCTCTCCAAGCTCAAGGAATTCTCAATAGTTCGGAATTCACTGACCTACCCTCCTCCCGATCTTCCAGGTACACACCTGCTAAGGCTCTACTTGCAGGACAACCAGATAACCCATATACCACTTACAGCCTTTTCAAACCTCCACAAACTGGAACGTCTTGATATTTCCAACAATCAACTTCGGATGTTGGTAAAGGGGGTATTTGATAATCTCCACAACCTGAGGCAACTCACTGTAAGGAATAATCCCTGGTTGTGTGACTGCAGTATTAAGTGGGTCACTGAATGGCTCAAATTTATTCCCACTTCCATCAATGTACGGGGTTTTATGTGCCAGGGACCAGAGCAGGTCCGAGGTATGGCAGTCAGGGAGCTCAATATGAATATGTTGTCATGCCCCACCACCACCCCTGGTCTGCCACTTATCATCACCCCAGTCCCAGCTACAGCCATGCCAACTACATTAGTTCCCACCTCATCAGTTCCTCCCCCAAGTAGCAAATATAATCCTCTCACTCCCACCATAGCCACGCTCCCCACTGTGCCTGACAGGAAGGACAGAGAAAGGGTGACACCTCCTATATCTGAACGGATTCAACTCTCCATCCATTTTGTGAATGACACTTGCATCCAAGTTAATTGGATGTCTCTTTTTACTGTGATGGCATACAAACTCACATGGGTTAAAATGGGCCATAGCCTGGTAGGAGGAATTGTTCAGGAACGAATAGTTAGTGGTGAGAAGCAACACTTAAGCCTAGTAAATCTGGAGCCCAAATCCACCTATCGGATTTGTTTGGTTCCGCTGGATACTTATAACAACTACCGAACTGGAGAAGACACTGTCTGTTCAGAAGCCACAACCAAGGCTTCCTTTTTGAGCAATGGCAGCAACATCCCCTCCAGCCATGAGCAGACGACTTCTCAGAACCTGGGCTCCCCATTTCTGCTGGCAGGGTTGATTGGGGGTGCAGTGATATTTGTCCTCGTGGTCCTGCTCAGCATTTTTTGCTGGCACATGCACAAAAAAGGGCGTTACACCTCCCAGAAGTGGAAATATAACCGGGGCCGTCGGAAAGATGACTACTGCGAGGCAGGGACCAAGAAGGACAACTCCATCCTGGAGATGACGGAAACCAGCTTCCAGATTGTCTCCTTAAATAATGATCAACTCCTTAAAGGAGATTTCAGACTGCAGCCCATTTATACCCCAAATGGGGGCATTAACTACACAGACTGCCACATCCCCAACAACATGCGATACTGCAACAGCAATGTCTCAGACCTGGAGCACTGTCATACGTGATAGTGAGAGGAGATGGGGGTGTCTAGGACAAAGAGAAAAAACTCTGGAAAAAATAACCCCCCAACAACAATGAAAAAATTACATTTGATAAATGTTACCCAGATGCATTTATGCATTTGAATACTCTGTAATTTATACGGTGTACTATATAATGGGATTTAAAAAAAGTGCTATCTTTTCTATTTCAAGTTAATTGCAAATGGTTTTGTAACTCTTTGCTTTTTAAATCTTTAAAAAATATTGCTAAGTACTGTACAGGGTTGTACAATAAGAACCCAATGTCATGGCAAAGGAAAGAATGACTCATTCTTCAAACATTAACCACTTTGCTGTCGAAGCTGTCTGAGGGATGTTAAGTTTCTAGGTGTCCTGTAGTACAGGAAACTAAGTGCATATTAAAACAGGGTCACTAGGAATGGACAAAAGCAATTCAGATAAAATGGGTCCAACCCTTCTGACTTGAACCCAGCAATTACGGTTGAACTTCAAACAGTTGGAAATACTTCCATTCCCCTTTCTCAGTTCTGCATTTCCTACCTCCAACTGAAAGCTGGAGTTCTGAGTGCTACCAAAAAGGCTATTTTCTCATTTGATTAGTTTTCTCCCAATGTACTTGGAATAGGAAAGGTAGACAGAACTCAGTGTCAAACTCAAAGTGACCTTGATTCCTGTTTGCAAAAGCTGCTCTGAAAATGTCCCCCAATACTATATACTTTTATGATAGAAACTGTTCCTGCTTTTCATTATGATTAAAAAGCTTTAGGCATTCTCTGACCCTTCTCAGTGGGAGATGAAGGTTATCAGTATGTAACAGATAGCTGTCATTAAGTTGCACCTCTCTTTAATAGAGCAGCATTTGTTGACACAGCATGTTCAGGTAAAGCCTGGATGAGGGAAATTCTGAGTGCTCCCAGCTCTGCAATATTCATGTAGAATTTGGAATCTAAAAGTGCAAATTGCTGAAAACATGACACAAAATATGATTCCAATGGAAAGGTTGCTGTTGACTTTTATGGTTCAAGCCCCGTTTGATTTAGGGGTCTGAGTTATGTTCATTGTGGAGAAATAGGAAAAAAGGCAAACAAACAGAGAAAACAAGGAAGAAAGATCTTTTAAAAATTGATTTATTACTGGAAAGGCCTCATGGCCTATCATGAACTGCAATATTTTCAGCAGGGAAGATCGCGTATAAATCCTGGTTGGTTGGGGTTTTTTTTCCATTTAAGTGTACAGAGACGGACATTAACTAAGCATTTGATTAGCTGAGGAATTTTGAGAACACAAGTACACACTGTGCCTCTGAATTACCCTTCTTTTATCTTAAGCTTTTGGAAGTTTTCCACAATGATCTGTGCTTTATAAGCAGTAGGTGGGCTTAGAATTTGCTCTTTTATTCCCTCAAATTCTTTTGCTGGAATACTTTCAGAGTTCTTGAGCTTTACATACACTATGCGAAACATCATGCTTGTATTAAAACCATGATGCTGCTCTCAAACTTATATAATGTTCCAGCCACTCCATTGACTCTGTGACTGCCAAGAACTCTGGATTTCTTGCCAGCTCAGTGGTGGAATGTAATTCTTCCTTTTTTTTTCAGTTTGTTTGTTTTTTATGTGTCTCACTTTCATCTGAGCTTGGGGACAAACAGAAGTTCGCAACAAAGAGGAACAAAAGACAGAGACAAACCTTTCCTGAGGGAGTGAGGAACCAAAGAGAAAACTTTTTACAGTGACCAACTAGGGAGAAGGAGAAGCTGTTAGCAGTGGACTGGAAATAAAGGCTGAAGCACTTTCGCTGTGGAATGCTTAGACTTTTCACTTTGTGAGGCCGCTTATGTTGGGAGAGAGGGTTTTAATCCTTTCCTTTGCTTATTTCACGCAACCCATTCTTGAAATGCAGCAGTCTATGAGTGTGCAGTTTCTCAAATTCAAATCGCATGATAACACTCATTTTCTGCAATGGCAAAATGAATCCAGTTATGATTGATGGCAAAGTACAATCATTGTATAAGGAACCGCATCCTCCCTCTAACACCTTTTATAATCACATTTTGAAATTCCACTCTATATTCTGTATATTTGCTATTTTCTCCAGCTATAACAGGTATTTTAGGCAACCTGTGTGGCTACTGTAATAGTAAAGTCACTGAAATTTTGCTGAATAAAAGGCTGCCATATGATTTCAGATGGTGTAATTCTAGGTAGAGACGTCTATGCAAAGTGTTTTTTTCTGTGACCTATTTACTGAATATTATGATGAGAAGGCTGATACTTACATTATGTTTGTTTAATATGTTTTAGCTGCCAAAGCCCACAAGACAAGCAGCAAATAGTTGTGCTTCTGCACGCTTCCATTGCATGCTGGAGTTTGTTTGAAATTAAGTAGAGCCAGAGATTTCCACTGGGTGTGGATGTAGTATTTAATTTCACTGAAATAACTAGCTGTACATTTTATTTCAAAAGGCATCCTTTGAAAGTACACGCTTACTAGAATTTCATGCTTCAGTGACTGATGCTGGAGGAATCTTTGTCCTCCTTGATGAACACCTTCTGTTCTAGGCCTCAGGATACCATAGTTTCAAGATGAGCTAGGCGCCTTATTTGTAGCAAATTACTTGTTCAGGGAGTTCAGCTATACTGTAGGTGAATGATCCACAACCCCAAACTGATGACAATGAATGTGGTTACTGCCCTAATAGGGTGAAAACAGAAGGCACTCACAAAGTGTTCATTTTGATCTCGGGTAATGAAATGTATATATATCTATCTGTGGACTATTACTCACTTACCTACATGAAAAATCAAAATGAGATTAAAGATAGCATAGTTTATGCTTCTTTTCAGTATGAAGAATAATATATATATTGGTATGGGCTGCTGATAAAATTTATTTTCTATAAATACACTTCTGTAAAAAAGTAACAAGCCACTTATACTAAAATTTGTGGATAAAACTGGGAGTATTATCTAAGCAAATTCACAGTTGTAGCCAACTGAAAGGTCATATGTTTCATTTGAAGAATGTTTCTCTCAGTTCTAGTTGCTATCCAGCTGCAAAAGAGTTCATGTATTTCAACCTACAAGAGAGTTTGGGACATTTCAAAGAGTCAGTCACACAAACAGCTGAGGCTTCATTTCAGGACGCATCTGGATAAGTATATAATGGACAACTTTCACTAGGTAAGATATTTGGGAAAAGAGTTAAAAATGGACAGTTATCTTTCGGCAATGTAAAATTTAATATCAGTAGCTTTTTCCTTGGACTTTGTAAAAATAGGATCATCTTCCCTTAGTACAAATATCTGAGCACAGATACTAACTAAAGGCTATTAGAGCAGAAGTCCCAAATGGGTGCATAGACAACTCATCCAAAATGTTCACTTCCAGGTCCTGATTTGAACAGGTTCATTGGACCTGAGAGCAAATGAGTAGTTTACAAAGTCTCACCCATATCCCATTGTATACTGCTAACAGCTGATATCAATGTACGGAAAAGATTCGTGAGTGGTATAAAATAACAGTTTAAGGGAGATTATGTTAAAGCAGTATCACAACACTGTTGTGTTCAGTGCTTAGATTCCTTCTGAAGACTTACTTATTTGCAAACAGGTCCTTGTTTTCACAGATTCTGTCGCTATAACAAGTGTTCCTTGCACATAGTTTGCTGGCAGAAACAAACACCTGATGGATGCATGGACTTTTTGCTAACAGGTTCTTACTGGAGATGTTATTATTGAATTTCTTCATAAGAATATTTAGGGATTGGTTTGCTTTGGACTGAAAAGATATTAGCAGGTTTCTCTGTAAGCCAATAAAGGACTACAATGAATGTCACGTAAAACACAAAAATGAAATAGCATATGCTATTTGCTACCACAGTAGTACAATTACATTTTTCTCTCAATCATTTTCTCTTTTCATGAGAGAAAATTTCTCCCTCTGAGAAATGTATCAATTTAACTTTGCAAGCAAAAGGACTCTATGCATATTGTATTGTTGTTATGGTTTTAAGGGTCTACATAAGGCACTTTATTGTAATGACATTGAAGTGAAAGTTCAGTCTCAGCTTTTGACAGTGAAGTGGTTAATTCCCATTTAATTCTCCATTTATAGTACTTCTTTACCTTAAATTATAACATGGAGATATTAAATTTTTTTCTTTAGAACATGAGAATAATGGTTTTACTCATGACTTATCTTTCCAGCTCACTGGAAAAACAAAACAGAAATGAGTGCCAAAATCAAAAGTTATGGGCTCTGAGCCTCATTAAATCCTGCCTGATGCTCTTTTCTAAACACAGACATAATCCTAGGAAGCTGATGATCACTCCTTCCCTGAACTCTACTGAACAGGGCATTTTGTATCCTAGATGATAATATAGGCAATATTGAAGCATTTGGCATTAAAGATTTGTAAAACATAGAATGTCTTGCTCTTTAAAAGGACACTGGCTAGTAGTCCACCTGGAGAACTAGTACAAAAGATATTTGGCAAACTTTTTTATACTGGGGCTCTGTGGAAATGTGCCTCATGAGAGCTGAATTCTGATCCTCTCAGAAACAGATGAGCTACTAAAATTATTATCATCATTTGGTCCCAAATATCTGAAGATGATCTTTCATAAAATTGATTTTAACTGAGACATGCACACTTGATTCTGTTCTGTGTTTGGTATACTTTCTACCTTTAACATGGAAAAATAGATGGTTTGAAGTCTGCATTATCTGTTTTCTGCAATCTGCCATGTTGCACGCATTGTTAACTTCAAAACCTCACTATACACTATATATTATCTTGTTGACATATTCAGTAAAGAGTTATTTAAAAAAAAACAACAATCCTGCTGTATTTATATGAGCAAGTTAATTAACACAAGGATGTGAATATCTGAAAGGGAAAAAAGAAAAAAAAGAAATCAAACTTCTGTACTTTCCTTCCTGGTAATGCTTTCAAATGTTACTGTACGTCCAACCTCTTCAGATTCTAAAAGACAAATATAT